ACAATAGCAGCCTGAATGAGGAACAATAATTAAAGAAAAACAAAGCTACAACAATCAATACCAACAACAACAACAACAAATAAATAAATAAAATAAAATAATTAAAAAATTAATACCCACAAAAATGACAACAACAAAGACAATGACAAGCACAACCACCTGAAAAACAAACAAACAAACAAAACAAAAAAACACCGCAACCAGCGCTTGCCTCATCGAGCGAACAGACGAAAAAATGAGCAACTAAAACGAGCTGCTTTTGGGCGTGACGGATGGTGATGGGCGTGAGGCGAAGTGAGGCGAGGCGTGGGACTAATGAGCAGGTGAGTGTGAGTGTGAATATGAGAGTGAGTGAGTGAATATGAGAGTGAGTGAGTGAGTGAGTGAGAGAGAGAGAGAGAGAGAGAGAGAGGAGAGAGAGAGAGAGAGAGAGAGAGAGAGAGAGAGAGAGAGAGAGAGAGAGAGAGAGAAGAGAGGAGAGAGGGGGGGGGGGAGAAACTATATCAGCGAATATAAGAAATAGAGTAAGAATCAGGAAGCAAGGGACATCGAGGAGCGAAAGTGGGAATAAAAAAGATAGTAAGAGAATGAACAAATAACAGTCAAAAAGGGAGATAATATGAGAATAAACAAGGGGGATAAGAGAGTGCACGAGGGAGAGAACGCGGGATAGAATGAGGGAGCGAACAAGGGAGGGAACAAGGGAGAAAATGAGGGAGAGAATAAGGGAGGAAGCGAGGGTGAACGCACGCCTGGTCTTTGTTCCCAGGTTATGCCGATCGTGCTCCTGACCTCGGGGGAAGGGGGGAGCAGGGGAGGGGGAGGAAGAGGGGGGAAGGGAAAGGGGGAAGAGGGGGAGAGAGGAGGGGGGAAGGAGGAGGAAGGAGGAGGAGGGGTGGAGGAGGAGGAGGAGGGGTGGAGGGGGGAGGAGGAGGGGTTGAAGAGGGAGGTGAGGAGGGTGAAGAGGAGGAGGAGGAGGAGGAGGGAGGAGGGAGGGGTGAAGAGGGAGGAGGAGGAGGATGAAGAGGAGGAGGAGGGAGGGAGGAAGGAGTGAAGAAGGAGGGGAGGAGAGGGAGAGGGAGGAGGGGTGAGGAGAGGGGAGGAGGAAGGAGGGGGAGGGAGGAGGAGGAGGGTGGGAGGAGGAGGGGTAAGAGGGAGGAGGAGGAGGGGGGGAGGAGGAGGCAGGAGGTGTGAAGAGGGAGGAGGAGGAGGGCGTGAAGAGGGAGAGGGAGGAGGAGGCGGTGAGGGGAGAGGAGAGAGGAGGAGGAGGAGGAGGAGGAGGGGAGGAGGAGGAGGGAGGAGGAGGGAGGGGAGAAGGAGGAGTGAGGGGGAAGGTGGAGAATAAGGGAAGAGGGGAAGAGTGGGGAAGAGGGGTGAGGGGAGAATGAGGGAGAGGAGAGGAGTAGTACGCAAATCAGATAATAAATTATGACGAGAGAAATCCACAAAAAATAAATAAATAAACAATAATGATAATAATAAACAAATTTATAAATTAAAGAATAAAAATAAATAAAAATTGCGTAAAACAAAAACAAACGCACGCACGCGCACAAGCACAATCAAGCCTCCCTCACACACACAAAAACAAATGAATGAATAAAAAAAAACACAAAAAATAAATCAATCAATAAATAATTGGAACATGCCCGCAATCACCGCAGGAAATTGACACCATTGCCACACATGGCCTCTGTACCGCTACAGTGACACCATTACACGATTTCCAACATTGGGAAACAACACTATTTCCAACACGGATTCCACCAGTGAGACACCTGGTCGCCGGGTATTCTTTTCATCGGACCAAAAATAAAAATAAAGAGGAAAATAATGAAAGAGAGAGATGGGAAGAAAAAGAAAAAAAAGGGAGAGAAAATTAAAGAAGAGGAAGAAAAGGGAAAAGAAAGAAAGAAAGCATTAAAAGATGAAAGAAACAAAAAAAGGAAAACATAATAAAGAAAGAAAAAGAAAAGGAAAAATAAAGAAAACATTAAAAGATGAAAGAGAAAGAAAAAAGAAAAGATAGAAAATGAAAGTGAAAGAAAAAGAAAATGAAAGATAAACCGTACACATCGAAGGCTTAATAAAAAATCCCGGATTCGAAGACACAAAGCAAGCACCGCATCCGAAAATAACTTCAAAAGCAATGGGTTTTAATTAGTTCTTTTGATCAAAGACGAAGACAATACTTCCGTGTCTAGGACGTTTCTCTCTCTCTCTCTCTCTCTCTCTCTCTCTCCTCTCTCTCTTCTCTCTCTCTCTCTCTCTCTCTCTCTCTCTCTCTCTCTCTCTTCTCTCTCTCTCTCTCTCTCTCTCTCTGCCCATCTGAACGAAAGCGCGGGCGTTTCACACAGTTCCCGCACCCAACGGACCCAAATCCTATAGAATTTCTCCCCCCCCCCTCCCCTCAACCACCCCTGCTCACGACTCGCTCTTTCCTATTTTCATTTTCCCCCTCTCTCCTTCTTTCCTCCCTTCCTTCCATCCTCTGACACCCTCTCCCTCCTACCTCACCCATTTTCCTTCACCTCTGTCACCCTCTCCTTCCCTTCCACTATCTACCTCTTCCTCTTCCTCTACTCTCCCTCTCTCCTCCTCTCCCTCCCTCTCTTCCACCCCCTCTCCCTCTACCACCCTCTCTTTCTTCCCTTCCTATCCTCCCTCCCTCTTTCCCCTCCTCTCCCTCCCCTTCCTCCAACCCTGACACCTCCGCCACGGAAGAGCGTCGGGCGAACATTCTTCAAGCCACGCCCATCGGCTCCACCTCGGCGGCGTGAGGACGAACTCGAGGAAGGGGAAATGTGGAAACAGAGGGGGAGAGGAGAAGGGGAAGGGGAAGGGAAAGGAGAAAAATGGACAAGGGGCAAGGGGGGGGGGAGGAAAGAGGAGGAAGGGAGAAGGAGGATGAGGATGAGGATGAGGAAGGAAAGAGGATGATGGGGGAGGATGAGGAGAAAGGGAAGAGAGGGAAGGGGAGCAAAGGGAAGGGGGAGGGGAAGAAAAGGAGGAAGGGAAGTGGGGGGAATAGAAGGGGAAGAGGAGAAAGGGAAGAAAAAATGGGGACTGGGGTAGAGAAAGGGGAACAGAGAAGGGGTGGAAAGAGGGGAAGGGTGAAGAGAAGAAGGGGGAGAGGGGAATAGAGGAGAAACGGGAAGCGAAGATTGAGAATGGGGGAAATCAGGGGGAGGGGGGAATTATGTGGAAAATTGGGGAGACAAAAAGCGACCCGAGGAATGATTAGAAAAAGGGGAAAGGGGAATTTAGAACCGACCGTGGGAAGCGAAAAGCCAGGGGAAAAAAGTTGAGGAAAAGGAGAAAGCCGAGAAGGAGACGTAAATGGAAAGAACACAAAAAAGAACTTTGAACGAGAAGGGTAAGGAGGGGCGAAAGGGAGAGAGAGGGGGGAAGGAGGGGCGAAAGGGAGAGAAAGGGGGGGAGGAGGGCAAAAGGAGAGAGAGAGAGAGAGAGAGAGAGAGAGAGAGAGAGAGAGAGAGAGAGAGAGAGAGAGAGAGAGAGAGAGAGAGAGGAGAGAGAGAGAGAGAATGTCTATATACAGAGAGAAGACGGACAGGCAGAGATGAGAGAGAGAGAGAGAGAGAGAGAGAGAGAGAGAGAGAGAGAGAGAGAGAGAGAGAGAGAGAGAGAGAGAGAGAGAGAGAGAGAGAGAAGAAGAGGGGGGGGGACAGAACGGGGAAGGGGGACAAAAGAGGAAAAGAGAGGGGAAAGAGGGGAGATAAAGAAGACAAAAACTCCTAGTCGTGTGCCAGTGTCACGTCAAAGGCATGTCTCAAAAGAACTGTCACGTCCGCGCTGACATAACTTCGGGCTGGTCGGTCGTGACGATCAGCGCCCTCGCCGGCAGGAGCAGACGCCCGAAAGGTGACGATCGAGTGGCATGACGACGCCCTCGCCCCCCCCCTCCCGCCCTCGCCCTCTCTCTATCTCTCTGTCTCGGCCCATGCCCTCCTGCTCTTCTCTCTCATTCTCTTCTGCTCTCTCTCTCTCTCGCTTTGTTAATATTCAATGAATTACTTACAAGAAAACTAACGAAGAGGAAGCGAGCGAGCGAGCGAGCGAGAGAGAGAGAGAGAGAGAGAGAGAGAGAGAGAGAGAGAGAGAGAGAGAGAGAGAGAGAGAGAGAGAGAGAGAGAGAGAGAGAGAGAATGAACAAAGAGGATCCACAAGTGAATCAGCCTCCTCCCCCTCCCCCTCCCCCTCCCCACCTACGCCCAGCCTTGACACATCCCTTTAAACCCCAAGTACTCCTGCACCGTGACTCCCGTGAACCGCGTCCTCTTAACTAGTAATATCTAGTGAACAGACTATACATTCGTTGTTTCTTTCTCTCTCTCTCTCTCTCTCGTTCTCTCTCTCACTACCCTTCTCCTTTCCTCCCTCTCTCTCCTCCTTCTCCTTCCCTCCCTTCCCCTTCCCACTCCCTTCCCCCTTCCCCTCCCACGCCCCTCTCCTCCCTCCCTCCACTCCCTTATCCTTCCTCCCTCCCTCCCCACACTAAAAAAAACACCACTCCCCTCCACGCTCTGTTAGTGCGAGAGATGAGCGTAATGCGGGAGGGGGGAGGGGGGAGGGGGAGGGAGGGAGTGATGGGGTGATGGGGGAAGGGGGAGGGGAAGGGGAGGTGATATTACCCATTATTGCCGTACCTGCAGGTTTCCCCATCGCAATTTTCATATATGGGTTATTGCACCCTCACTAACGCTCTCTCTCTCTCTCTCTCTCTCTCTCTCTCACCACACACACACACACACACACACACACACACACACACACACACACACACACGCAAAAGTATGTTTATAAATGTATAATCATAATGATTATAAGAACACTTTCTGATTAAAAGCAATGAAACTATAACAATAATAAGCAAATCACAGTACCATTACCTCAAGTACTCCGCTGTTGCTACTACTACTACTACTACTACTATAAGTAACCCTAGAACACTACTGATAACAAAAGTGTTTCATTATTACCTTCAAAAGGTAAACAAACTTGATATTTTTCGGTCCCTCTCTCGGAGGAGGAAACAAACCTCGATACTCCTCTCAGTCACAAACGCAGCACAAACTCTGCGTTCTCAACAACAACAAAAACAAACAAACAACCGAGCCGATATTTAAAAAAAGGAAAAAAAATCAAGGTAACAGAGCAAAACACACAAAGGCGTCCGGGGGTCCTGTATCCGCACAACCGCACTGTCGCACTGTACCCGAACTGTAACCCGCGTACCCGAGCGCTTCCTCGACTCGTGCCCGAACCGCCGACGACCCAACGACAGCCGGGACCTTTCACTGACAACACCCTCCCCCCCTCCCCTCACTTCCATACCCCACCCTCCTATGCATACCTTTTCCCCCATACCCTCCTATACATATATACATATACATACATATACACACACCCTTTCCCCACCCCCTCCTCCATACTTTCATTTCATCCATAACCTCTCTTCCTATACCCCTCCCCCTTCATTCCTCCCACCTCCTCCTTCCCCCCCCCCACGGTCTCCGCGAATGTAAACAGAGGGGGAGTGGGGGAGGGGGTGAAACCACCTCGTCAGGAAGTCCGAAAGGCCCACTCGCTCCCTATCCGAGATCGTTGGCTTTTCCGTCGTTTGGGGAATCCGATTCGATGTCTGAGTACGGTCTACACCTGGGGTTCCCAACCTGGGGGGGGGGGGGCACGGGGTACTTTCTTGGAAGCCATAGAGCAATATGAAGCAAAAATGACGTTCGAATTAATATGAATTCTATCTCTCCTACAGCACTTACAATTCTCTCTCAAATATCAATAAATTGGCATAACTAGCAATACCCTGAATTGATGACAATTACTGAATGGGGCCATGGGGATTATTATACACTGGGAACCACTGGTCTACATACTTGTACTATGACCGCTATATCATCTATCATCAAAATCACCTTAATTATCACAATCATTATAATCACCATTACCATTATCAACACAATCACCATTGTCATCACCATAATTATCAAAATCATAATTACCATCATTATAATAATATTAATAATAATAATAATAATAATAATAATAATAGCACTTAATTACTCCTATCAATTCTCCTTATATGACTTTATCTCTACCGTAGAAACTGCTAAACCTCATCACCATCTGTATCGTAATTATCATTCTCACATCATTATCTTCTAACTGGGGGGGGGGGGGTCAAGAGAGGTCGCGAGAAAGGCTTTCCAGAAGGGGAGGGGGGGAAAGGGGTCAAAGGTCACGCGAGGTGGCGCGTGCAAATCTGACCCCAGGGAAAGATCTCGACCGAGAGCTGCTAAGTCATCCGAGAACACAAGTCCATTTATGCAAAGAAGAAGAAAAAGAAGAAAAAAAGAAAAAGAAAAATAGCGACGAGAAAAAAGGGGAAGGAAAAGAAAGTTATCTAAGAGGAAAAAATGTAATTGAAAATACTGAAAAAAGAAAAAAGAAAAAAAAACATATGCGATTCATATATCTATTTTTTTTCTTTTTTTTCTTTTTGCATTTTCCAAATAAGATATCGCAATATCAAATACCACAGCGTAAAAAAAAAAAAAAAAAAAAAAAAAAAAAAAAAAAAAAAAGTCACAAGCCAGGACGAACAGACATAACGGCGCTCCACCTCGTCATAAATACTAGACTTTATGGATTACTGCACCTCCAATTCCGCATAATTTCAATCAACCAAAATTATAGGCTACTAAACACCCCCCCCCCCGCCACCCACAGCCCATAACCCCACCCTGCAACTCGAGAATGACTCGATATTTCAATAAACAAAAATTCTTCAAAGGAAAATCGCGAAGAATTCTAATCCCAGACAAAATGCAAATTGTAAAATTATTTACAAAATGAACACGATCTTTCCAAAAATATAAAACATCAGAGAAAATGCAGTGTTAACATTTTATACATGTATAATATATATATGTATATATTTTTTTTTCTTTTCTCTTTTCTTTTTAAACTCGCGCAATCATAAAACAATTACGAAATTGAAATACTGAAAAATACAAACACACAAAAAGAGAAGAGGGAGGGGGATAGAGAGATTGATAAATAGATAAAGAAAATAAATTGCTAAATATATACATAGATAGAGAAAATAGACAGGTAGACAGATACTTATAAATCCATACATATAAATAGAAATAGTGACAAAGATAGATAGATAGATACACAGACACAGATAGATATATACATACAGATAGAAATAGACACGAAAGTAGAGAGAGATATACATAGAAAGGATTTCCAGACCCTAACTTTAATAATTTCATGTCATCTGTTTTTACGACTCGCGGCGCAATAAAGGTGATTGCGCCATCACACGTTTTCAAGCTCAACACTTGTGAATAACATCAATAAATATTCTACAAATCAAAAATGTACAAATTATATACCAACAGAAAAAAATACTGATATCAACACTGAATCGTTTTTGCTATATATATATAAAAAACAACAACAATTATAGCTATATTAATAATTAAAAAAAAACTGCAAACACGTCAAACATAGAAGTAAAATCATCTGCAAATAAACAACAGTAAACAATAATAATAATAATAATAAATTAGAAACCACAACAAAAGGAACAACAGCAACATTACACCCTAACCCAACCCCCCGCCCCCCCCCCAAAAAAAAAAAGAAAGAAAAAAGTTGCAAGCGCCATGCTGCAATGACCCAGTGAAGAGTTACGTCATACCCCGCAAGAGATGAAGAGGGAGGGAGGGGAGGGAGGGAGGGAGGGAGGGAGGGAGGGGAGGAGAGGGGAGCGCGAGAGGAATAGAAAGGGAAGGAGGGAAGGGGACCGAGTGGGAGAGGCAGGGAGGAGGGAGGGAGGGAGGGAGGAGCGCGAGAGGAATGGAAAGGGAAGGAGAAGGGGACCGGAGAGGCCGAGGTGAGGAGGGAGGGAGGGAGGAGGGCAGGAGGAGCGCGAGAGAATGGAAAGGGAAGGAGGGAAGGGGACGAGGAGAGGCATGGAAAGGGAAGGAGGAGAGGTAGAGGGAGGGAGGGAGAGGAAAAAGAGAAAGAAAAAGAAAAAAAGAGTAAAGAGAGAGAGAAGAGAAGGAAGGAAGGAAGGAAGGAGGGCAGAAGGAAGGTGAAAACCTCCCTCAACCTCCTTACCTTGTTGCTATGACAGCCTGCCTTCCACGCTGCTGTTTCTTCACCGCCGTCTCTCGCTTTTATTTGTCTACGAATCTCCCTTTTACTCTCTTTTTATTTCATCCCACTCCATTTTCACTTTTATATACTCTCTCACTCGCTCGTTCGCTTAATCCTTTACTGGAGGCGGGAAGGGAGGGAGGGAGGGAGGAAGGGAGGAGGGAGGGAGGAAGGAGGGAAAAGGGATGAAGAGAGAGAGAAGATAATAGAGAAAGAGAGAAAGGAGAAAGAGAGAGAGAAAAAAAAAAGACAGAGAAAATTAGAAGAAGAGTAAAAATAGAAAAGAGAAAGAAAGAAAAAAAAATGAGAATTGAAAAAGAAATAGCAGTTTAAACACCCTCCCTTGTTTACCTCCTCCACTTGCAAAGGAAAGGCACAAGAGCCACAATGCACACTACTCCCCCCCCCATCTCTAACCCCCACCCCTTCCACCCCCCCATCTAACCCTCACCCCCTTCCATCCCCATCTAACCCCCTCACCCCCTTCCACCCCATCCCCCCTCACCCCCTTCCACCCCCTAACCCCTCACCCCTTCATCCCCCATCTAACCCCCTCACCCCTTCCACCCCCCCTAAAGAAAAAATCTTGCCTATTGTTGACTCCCCGAGAGCGCGACCCGACCTCACAACCTCACAGCCCCTCATAATATTCCTGCTCGGGCCGTGCGGAGCTTGTGTCGATAACCTCGCTGCTTATTTTGCTTCTCTCTCTCTCTCTCTCTCACTCTGTTTGTCGTTGTCTCTCTCTCCCCCCTCTCTTTTCTCTTCCCTCTCTCTCTCTCTTCTCTCTCTCTCTCTCTGCTCCTCTCTCTCTCTCATCTCCTCTCTCCTCTCTCTACACATACTCTCTCTCTCCCCCCCCCCTCTCTTTCTCTCTCTCTCTTCTTCCCCCCAACCTCATCCGCTAACCGGAAGAACCCCCAGCCATCCCACGCCCCCCGAGCACACCACTCAGCACACGCGACCGCCATCCCCCCCTTCCTTGCTTCAGCCCCAGCCAGTACGCGCCGCCCCCGCCGCCTATCCCACCCCACCCACCCCCACCAGCCCTCTCCCTTGCACCTGCAGCATCCCGTGCCACCCCGCCCACCCACACCCCTCACCCTCCATACACCACCCCTCCCCTGACCCGTCCACCCCCCCAGACCACGAACCGCGACAGCTACCACCCCAGAACACACCACCGAGAACCACACAGCCGACCCTCAGCGCGCAAACCATCCGCCCCTTGCCACCCTCCGCTTGACACCCCGCCTGCCCCCCGACCCTACATCTCCTACTCATCCGCCCCCCTCCCCTCACCCACACTTTCAAAGACCCCCCCTCTCCTAACCCCGCGTTCTTCGTCTCCCTCGTCCTTAGCCCCTCCCGCGCCCTCCCGCCCCCCCACTCACCCCCTCTTGCTGGTTTCTCACGCCCTTATCCTATCTCCTCAACTAGCCCGCCCTCCGCCTCTGCGTCTCTCTCTCTCTCTCTCTCTCTCTCTCCTCATAATCTCTCTTCTCTCTCTCTCTCTCTCTCTCTCTCTCTTCTCTTTGTTCATCAATTTCCTCTTTAACCATATTCTAAAAATGAATATACTCAGAACACACATCGAATTCACGCCTCCATCATCATCTAGATAACTCATTTTACTAATTTCTCATTTTCTTGTATAATTCTCTCAGTTATTCTTGTTTTCCTCGCCCCTTCCTCCTTCTTTGACCACACTCGCAGAAATCGTCTTTTGCGATGTTGCCTATCCTCCTTCCCAGATTTTCCGGCAATTTATTTTGCTTTCTACTGCTGACTCATCGCGCGTACTCTACCACCTTCCTTCCTTCCTTTCATTCTCCTTTCTTTCACTTTCTGCTGCTTTTACGCTCCTATTCTCCATCTGCTTCTTTCTCTTGCCTGTCTTTCTGTCCATCCATTCCTCTATCTCTCTCTCTCTTCTCTCTCATCCCCTTCCTCCCCTCCTCCCCCTCCTCCTTCCGCTCTTCTCTCCCAATCCTCGCCCCTCCCCCTCCCTCTCC